GGAGAAACATTGTCCATGGGGTCGCGATGGGTCAGACACGACTTCGCAACTAACAACAACAACAACTTTAAGGCTACTTGTATGTATTAAGGATGCACAAAGCATTTCTTCTGTGAAATGGCTGCGTGTGCACATGTATGCCAGGAAGCAGCCATCGGGATGCAGAATTCAAAGCACCTGCATGAGCTTTGCAGAAGATATGGCTGATATAAAGATTTAAAGAGAAGAGCTCTATTTGCACTCTGGCTATGTGGTGCATCTTTTTCTACTGATTTCATGGTCATTTATAGCTGTACCTGGCTCAACATACATCTACCTTATGCTGATACGTGCAGTTAACCTGCTGAACACTATTCCTGATTAGGATCAAGGATTGTAATTACTTTCCACAATTAAGGAATTTTGGTTTAGTTAAATGATTATCAGCCAGAAATTAAGTCCCTGTCCCTTGTACAGTATATGGTATTGCTGTTCTGACCTAGACTTCCTGAGTCATTAAAACACACGAGTAGTCCCAAAAACCTCTTTTATTGTAACAGCTGTGAATTCTGTTCATTCACAGATGAGTCCCAATTAGTTATAAAGAGTCCTTTGGGGGAAGTCCATCAGGATAATCACCCACCTTTATCTCCCTTGACATGCTGCCAAAGACCTAATTGGCAGAGCCATACGTAGTCCAGAATCAAACAGAGCTTCAGGCTTTAAACTGAACCGAATGAACAAATGTTGCTTCCTGCAAAGGCCCATGTGCCTTTGCTGCTCTTTTAAGTCTTATGAGAGGGGCCAATCATCTCCCAGCCCTCCCGAGTCGTCCCTTTTGTTCTAGCTGTTCTTGCCTTCTGGCAGCTCTGCTCCCCATTCCTCTGCCTCACTGCGGTCCAGCTCCGGAGGCTCCGGAGGCAGCACGTACCTCCCAGATGGCCCTTTCTCTGCCTCCGATGCAGAACCCTCGTCCGAGCCTTCCCCAGGCTCCAAGACTGGCCCATGGTCCTCCCCAGCCTCCTCACTGTCTGACTCTGCTGCCAACTCCACAGGCTGCTGGCGGACCACAACAGTTGCACATGTGCTACCCTGACAATAACTATATAACAAATCAGCATAGAGAAATGATTTGTGGATAGTGTCTTGGTTCATGCACTAGGATTAATAGCATACCATCAGAGTGACATTCAGAGCCGAGGCTATCTTCTAAGATTACAGATAGCCTTCGACTTACAACCACAATTGAGCCCAACATTTCTGTGGTTAAACGAGACATTTGTTAAGTGAGTTTTGCCCCATTTTACGACCTTTCTTGCCACCATTGTTAAGAGAATAACAACTGCAGTTGATAAATTAGTAACCTGGTTGTTAAGTGAAACTGGCTTCCCAATTAACTTTCCTTGTCAGAAGGTTGCAAAATGTGATCACATGATCTTGGGACACAGCAACGGTCATAAGTATGAACCAGTTGCGAAGCATCTGAATTTTGACATGATCATGCGGATGGTCATAACTGTGAAAAACGGTCAGAAGTCACTCTCTTCAGTGCCATTGTAACTTTGAACAGTCACTAAATGAACTGTTGTAAGTTGAGGGCTACCTGTATTTGTTACAGATATTGTGAAAGCAAAGCACAATTAACCCATGCAAGTTGTCTTGAGCATCTCAGAATGTGCGGGATAAAATGTGAGAGATATGGATAGATATGCTCTACTGTATATGATTAGTGGCGTATGTGTCTTGCCCAATAGACAAAAGCACTCTTGAATCTTTCTGTAAAGCAGTCTAAACAAGAGTAAGATGAGAACAAGAAATATACAAGCACTATTCTTTGGTTCTGAGTTTTTTCACTCTTTAACCTTGAAACCTTACTATTAATCTTCTCATCGTTCCTATCACCCATCTCCTCCCACTTATGACTGTATGACTGTAACCTTGTTGCCGGTATCTTTAAGATTTATATTGATTCCCTATGACTATCATTAAATGTTGTACCTTATGATTCTTGACGAATGTATCTTTTCTTTTATGTACAGTGAGAGCATATGCATCAAGACAAATTCCTTGTGTGTCCAGTCACACTTGGCCAATAAAGAATTCTATTCTATTCTATTCTATTCTATTCTATTCTATTCTATTCTATTCTATTCTATTCTATTCTATTCTATTCTATTCTATTGAAGTTAAGTTCCCCATGTCATATGATACTTATATGATTTTACTAAAACTGTTGATGATGATGATGTCATCAGAAGATACATATTCTAGAATCCAGGAACATCACAAATGGACAAAATTAGTTTTGGAATAAATTCAGGCCATTTATTTAAAAAAAACTGTATTTTTTATTGGAGATAAAATGTATTTCATCTTCACTTGACAATGTGGCATTTTGCTAGCATTTTCATCCTCTAGGAGACAAGAATACTTTTACTGGCTTATGTTTAATGCTAGCTACTAAACTGATAGACCTAAGCATTTTTCAAGAGCTTACAGGCAGCCTTTGCACATCACACAACAGTTCCTGTGGCATCCCTGAATTTTTTAAACAGTCTTGACTGAATATTTAAGGTTATCTTTAAGGATGTCACTTTGACAATTGCCATTATAGCAATTCATTCTTTCTAGAGAAGCAATCCACAAGCACATCCTGCTCCAGCCTGGCAAGTATTATTATTATTTTACAATGTCTCTGCTGTTCTTTGTAATTAGCACTTCTCTTGGGCACAATGTCAAGCCAGACTATTTGGCATTTCTTTATATTTCATTTTTGATGTTGTTATTTAAAAATCAGTAATTACTGCAATCTTGGTCAAACTTCCTTTCATCTACTTTGGGTTGAGAAATAAGGTACTTAACATCCTTATTTTCAAAGCACTTATATGCCACTAAGGCACATATGTCACTAATCATATAAACTTAGTTAAGAGACAACAGTTAACTGGGGTAGTTATGAAACACAAATGTTCGTACTTTTTTCTATCCTTTGTTTATGTTACTTTGGTCATTATATATAGCTGTTGCACATAGATATGATCAAGGACCCCTCATTTCAACCCCTGAGCTACAAAATATCCTCCTCTATCAGAAATATGATCATATGATTTGGGAGGAATGTTTAAAACTCCATCTCCCCAAAATAAATCAATAAACAGAACCTTTCTAGATATTGCTGAAATCTAATTCCAAGTTCCTTTTACCACAGATTTTATTTGCTAGAGGCAGCTTCTGGGTGTCACAATTCAACAACATGTAGAGCAATGTTTTTCATACTTGGCAACTTTAAGACGCAGGACTTCAACTCTAGAGTGTACAGATCTTAAAGTTGCTGAGTTTGAAAAAACACTGCTCTAGAGCATTGCATATTATGTTCCTTCCACTACTGAGCTAGTCCTTGTAGGAGTCTTGCTCATGGAGAATTGGCATCAGTGTTGGCGAACTTTTTCAGCACCAAGTGCCAAAACAGGAATGTGCGCGGGGGAGCACCAGTCACCTGGTCTTCTGATTTCTGGTGTGCATGTGCGTGTGAAGACCAGCTGGCCAGCACGCATGCGTGCGCCGGAACCCAGAAGTGCAACGGGCGACGGCTGGCGTGCCCAGAGAGATGGCTCTGCATCCCACTTCCAGCACACATGCCATAGGTTTGCCATTACGGTTATAGATAAACTTAAGCTGGAGCCTGCATTTCCGACATGGAAATCCTTATCTTGGGTTGCATTCTGTGATATCATATTGGTTGAATGGGTTGAAAGTATAGTTTAGAAACTTCTTGATAGCAACTGATAAGACTGAGATAAGAATAGTTTAGAGTCAGAAAAATATATCCTTAAGCAGTAACTACCGTCTCATACAAATTATACTAAATAGATCAGAAGGTTATTTTCCATGCAGACAAAGATATTCCTAAACTGAAAGAAAGGAAGGAAAAAACCTTAAAAGATAACCCATACAATTACCCTAAAATTATCAGAAGTTAAAAAAAAAAATCTTACCAGTTGAAGTGACATGATACTGATATCTAACTGGTACATAGTAACAGAACCCCAAATATATCTACCTGTCAGGAGTAAGTCCTACTGAATTAAAAAAAAACCCTTTCTTTTAAGTAAAAGGGCACAGAATTGCAGCCTCAATTCTTGTAAACGTACCATGCAAGTGGGATGTATTTATTGACAACATCCAGATAACTATATTCTATAGCAGCCTTCTTTAATTAGTTCCCCTTGGATGGGCTGAACTTCAACTCTCTTCATCCCAAGCCAGCACAGCTAAATAACGTGCTAGTTAAAGATGACAGGAATTGTATCAAGTTGGGGAATGCACTTCTAAAAATCCCTAGGAAGAAGCTCAATACTGAAAGAAGGTAACTCAAGCAATTCATACAACATTTTAATCACACATCTCCTAAATGAAGAAAAAAAAAAAGACAAATTTGGGCAATGGTTTAACCAAGAATTAGGGTTTTTTTTTTTCCCTTATAAAAGTAATGGTGGACATGCATTCTTTTTCAGCTAGGAAGTTTTTTTTATGAGAACACCTTGGAATTATCTATGTCTTAGCTGAATTAAAATAAAGAGAACAACAATAAAAGTCTATAAGGAACATATGGAATAAAGGAGCAAGACAGCTGCCATGATGTTACAATGCTTGACCCTAGTAGTTAGCATGTGCAAGGATGTGGTCAAAAATAACTCTTCTGAAGTATGAATCTAGGGCAACCACAAAGGAATCGAGGAGCCCAAATGTCACATATAGTGCCATAAGGGGCTTCTTAACCACAAGTTCCCCTCTTCCAGGAAAAGATCTTAATCTTAGTAAACCACTGGTTTTACCAACATGAAAGCTGTAGACACTTGGAAATTTCCAGTTACCTATTGAATGCTGTGACAGCAATGTTCACTTGGCCACATCTTTATGGAGCTGGATTACTTCCTGGCTATATGCTGTGTTTGTGGGATGATGATGTTTGCAACATTGCCGCTCATTATTCAATTCTTATCTTTTTTTTTGGCCTCTAGACCAGTGGTGGGATTCAGCCGGTTCTGTCTGGTTCAGGCGAACTGGTAGTGGCGACTGCGAAAGGCTCCGCTCACCCAACGTAATGCGCGAGTAAAGAGCATGCACGGAAGGCCATGCACATGCACAGAGGAAGAGCGTGCGAGCTCACATTTGCGAACCGGTAGGGAAGGTAAGTGAATCCCACCTCTGCTCCAGACTCACCACCTACATCCCCCCATAAGCATAAACAGGTACAGTAGCTCTTGATAGAATCGACTATTGGAAGCCTGGTGTTGAGATGGATGAGTAGCCGTGGGCGTAGAATGGCCTTCCAGCCTTTCATAGGTTGTGCTAGCTTTAAAAAAATATAACCTGCCAAAAAAAGATACTGATCTTCACCTTATGTGAATGACATCTAAATGAAACAATCTGATGAATGCTCCATTCATTTATCAAAGGGGGGAGGTTATGGAAGAAATTAAGGAATGTAGAGATTAATAGGAGTTTTTAGCATAGGGTTTTTGAGTATAGCAACAGTCATGGTTTAGCAAGAGAGTAAGCAGATAGAATAACTTCAACTCTGTATGTACAGGTAGTCCTCGATTTACGACCACAATTAAGCCCAAAATTTCTGTTGTTAAGTGAGACATTTGTTAAGTGAGTTTTGCCCCATTTTACGACCTTTCTTGCCACAGTTGTTAAGTGAATCACTGCAGTTGGTAAGTTAGTAACTCGGTTGTTAAGTGAATCTGTTTTCCCCATTGACTTTGCTTGTCAAAAGCTTGCAAAAGGTGATCATATGATCTTGGGACAAAGCAACAGTTGTAAGTATGAACCAGTTGCCAAGCATCTGAATTTTGATCACAAGATCATGAGAATGCTACAAAGATTGTAACGGTGAAAAATGTTCATAAGTCACTTTTTTCAGCGCCGTTGTAACTTTGAACGGTCACTAAATGAACTGTTGTAAATTGGGGACTATCTGTATTACGGATTAGGTTCAAGAGGAAGACAACTACAGTTAGCTGAAGGCTATGGTTTTGCAGTTAACAGGTTCAACATAGTGTGTCTATTTTTGTCTTTGGCCTTCTTTATACCCAATTTTTTTTACACTTCTAGAGTTTTTTGGTCCTTGATAATAAATGCATCCTGTTTTCTCTGTTTTGGGGACTTCAACATGGAATGTTATTAACATGGCTCTGTGTGCTTGACCTGGCTTTGCAAATTCATAATAATTCTGGAGACTCAAGTACTTTGTGTTGTCCTGATTCAATAGACAAAATGAAGATCATCACTGACCTGGTGGTAGAGGGAGAAGAAAGTGGAATTGGGGTATAGTAAATTCTGAAAGTTCCTGTTTACAGATTTTACTTCAACAAGTTATAGAGCTAAAGCATATTTAACACTTGCTGCCATCTAACAAAATGGGCATAACTATACTAATATGCATTTTTGCTTAGATCAACGTACTACCCACTACTATTCTATCAGCATTTATGTATCTACTTTCATGACTATTTCCCCCCAAATCCACTCCTGAAACTATAAAAAAGGCTGTCCCATTTTCAGAACTTCTCATCATATTTGCACTCTTTACTAATTTTCTCAGTCTTTTACTAGTACTTGTATTGTCTGATTCATTATTTTGCCATATGTACATATAGTCCAGTGGTTCTCAACCTTCCTAATGTCGCGACACATTAATACAGTTCCTCATGTTGTGATGAGCCCCAACAAGGGGTGGGTTCTAATTTTTTTTACTACCGGTTCTGTGGGCGTGGCTTATTTTGTGGGCGTGGTTTGGAGGTCATGTGACTGGGTGGGCGTGGCTAGCTGGTCATGTGACCGGGTGGCCATGGCTATGTGTATAGGGACTACTCAGAGGGCTGAAAAAAGTCATTTCTGACAGATCCTCGCACTTTTGACTGGTCCTCACACTTATGACCATCTTCACATTTATGCCCGTGCAGCATTCTTAACAACCATGTCACTCATTTCACAACTGCTTCTCTTCACCATGGTGATAAGATAGGGCAAAAAACGTAAAATGTGAGGACAGTTGTAAATTCGAGGACTGGTCAAAAGTGCGAGGACCAGTCAAAAATAACTTTTTCAGCCCTCTGAGTAGTCCATGTGCACAAAAGGACTACCCAGAGGGCTGAAAAAAGTGATTTCTGACAGGTCCTCGCACTTTTGACTGGTCTTCGCACGTATGACTGGTCATCATGCCCATTGTAGCATTCTTAACAACCGTGTCACTCATTTCACAACTGCTTCTCTTCACCATGGTGACAAGATAGGGCAAAAACATAAAATGTGAGGACAGTTGTAAGTTCGAGGACTGGTCAAAAGTGCGAGGACCAGTCAAAAATAACTTTTTCAGCCCTCTGAGTAGTCCATATGCATAAAAGGATACAGCAATAGAGAGGGATGAAGGAAGGGAAGGAAATTAGAGTAGGAGTGAGGGTAAGAGAGGGAGGAAGAGAGGAGGAGAAGGAGAAAGGAAGAGGAAGTAGGAAGGGGAAGAAGTGGGGAGGGAAGAGAAAGTAAGAAGGAAAGAAAAGAGAGAGGTGGTAGGTTTGAGGAGAAAGATTGCTGTACAATAAAAAAGATGAAAGGGAAGAAAACCAATCCCAAACAAATATAAAGATATTAAGATAAAGAAGAATTGTTAAACTTTAAAGAATAAAAGAGAACAAATATGAATAAATAGCAATAATTAGAAACACACATACAAACATACAATGTATTTTCTTTGAACAGAGTATTTGGCCGGTTCACAAATTTAAACAGTGTTTAGTCATTTCAATTAAATTTACAATTTCTATATTTCCTTTTTGCCATATTTATTCCTCATCTATTTTTGTAAAAAACCAATATTACCCTTCATCCTCATCTCTAATCTTAATCAAATTCAATTTTTCCCTTCTATTCTATATTATACCCCTTCCCATTGTCATCTATTTTTATATCCATTCTCACATTGGTTAATTATGTAATTATGTAATACAGTTGTTTAATACAAATTCAACATTTTAATATAAATCAATTATATAACTATCTTTTTTGTATATCAATCAATATGAACATGAATATTCCAATTATTTCCATGCAATCCAATTTCTTACAAATCAATTAATTATATTTACCAATAATAATAAACCAAATAATTTCCCCCATATATTCCTCCAACCACAACTTAACCATTTCTGCTTTCAACACAATATACAATTAATAGTATCTCAATTATTACAATTCCCTAGTTAAATAGAGCTTTTTTTCTTTTGTGTTTCAAAATCTTGAACCTCCTCTTTTGTCCTAAATTTCCCATTGTTTGCAGTTTTGCACCTATCTTTTTTGATGAGGAAAAAGAAAAAGAAATCTCTCTCTGCCTCATTTTGTCATGTTGCAGCAAAGACCCTGCTTTACTTTCAGTTTTGTTTTTTCAGCATAGCTAGGGGAAAAAAAAATCTGTTCCTCTCTTTGCAGCTAGCAACAGAGCCCTCCGCAAAACAGCTGAGAGCAAATCAACTCAGAGTCCGGAGGCTGATCAAATCAATTTATGGTAATTAACCTATGCTGAAGCTGAAAGGGGCTGTTTTTTTCTATTTTTGCAGGCACCAGTCTTCTCATTTGTTTTCTTTTAACCTGATCAGCTGTAGGGCGGCCCTTTGAAGCCCCGCGGCAAGAATTTAAACGGTTTGTTTCCCTCTAGCCATCAGCTGGGACTCAGAGGACTAGATTGGGAGTGGGCGGGATAAGCGAACGGCGATCCAACAGTGGCAGAGGGTGAGGGTGAGTGAAGGCGTGGGGGGGGGGCGAGAGAGGGCTTTGGCGACCCCTGTGAAATGGCGGTTCGACCCCCAAAGGGGTCGCGACCCCCAGGTTGAGAACCGCTGATTAGACCAATGTTTAAATCATACATTCAAAACTAAAAGACCCTTTTTTTCTAGGCAGGTATTTCACAGATCACCATATTAACTGATGTTTGTTCTCCAAATGGCTTGACCACGTGTTCATTTTATTCCCATATCATCCAACAATAACCATCCATCCATGCCTGAATGCATTCATCCATCATTCTGGAGTATAACTTGGAATTACCATCAATCTATGGTTTCCTACCAGTATTTCCATACATCTACAACAGATACCACCAATTCAGTGGTGAAATCCAAATTTTTTTACTACTGGTTCTGTGGGCGTGGCTTGGTGGATGTGGTGTAGCTTGGTGGGCGTGGCTTGGTGGGCATGGCAGGGGAAGGATATGCAAAATCTCCATTCCCACCCCACTCCAGGGGAAGGATACTGCAAAATCTCCATTCCCACCCCACTCTGGGGCCAGCCAGAGGTGGTATTTGCTGTTTATCCGAACTACTAAAAATTTACGCTACCGGTTCTCCAGAACCTGTTAGAACCTGCTGGATTTCACCCCTGCACCAATTAATATTTTCTGGAATATAATTTAGTTCTTTTTTTCACACACATCATCTCTCCCCATATATCTTTGTCGATTCCACAAGATCTGATGCTTAGAGATCTTGAACGAAGACTAGTCCCATCCTCTTTTTCTCAAACACCACACATCTATTTTGTTTCAGTTAAGTAATTATTATCATATTTTTTAGAGTATAGGACGCACCAGAGTATAAGATGCACCTTAATTTTTGGGGAGGAAAACAAGAAAAAAAAATCTGCCTCTGCCTCTGCCTCCCAGCATCCATCAGTATTCATCTGGCTAGCATCCTTGCAGCAAACAGCCTGGTCAGTTTCAACACACTATTGCAGCCTGATTCAGCAGGAGCAGCTGATTGGCAGGTGGATTGGCCTCCCAGAATACCCCCAATCAGCTATTCCAGGTTGCAGGGATTGCCACAGACCATTGCTGCCTCTGTGCCTCGTGTTTTCGGGCGGTTTCCGAAAATGCGTATTACCCTACGCACCTTTAACTGGAGTAGGTGGGGTGGGGTGGGGGATGATTTTCATGGGGTCAGAAGAGGGACTTGGCATCAAAGGCTCCACTCCTGAAACACCCCTATCTTCCTACCTATAGCCGTATAGGGTTTGTTTTAAATGGATAAAAAGATCTGTGCTGCTTGTTATCAAAATCCGAATGGAAGTGAGGATCCCCGCCACCTGGAACCGCCTGAAAATGTGACACACAGAGGCTGAAAACATCCGAAGGGTGAGGGTGGGCGGGGTTACATTCGGTGTATAAGACTCACCCAAATTTTCACCCTCTTTTAGGGGGGAAAATGGTGCATCTTATACTCTGAAAAATACGGTAATTAATTCATACGTTTTGCCTAATTCTTCCATGTTGCAATCTCCGCATGCCAGATGGGCCTCTAAACACTGCTCTCTGCTGTCTATCATGGCTTTAATTTTTTGAGGCTCTCACATAATTCTTTCCACCAATCTAAAGACAATGTAGACTAGGTTATATCTGTGCCATATCTATATCCTCTGCTAACAGCAAAAGCAATACTGGTCTGTTTTGACAAATTCTGGCCAGCATGCCACAAGCACAAGCAAGCATGCTCACTTTCAATACAGTCTAGGAGAGACTATACTGCAAGTCAACTCACTTTTGCTTGTGTCCCTCTAACTAGGAGGTAGGTGCACTGTATGTATGCTTATATACACACTATCATATAGACAGCAATTCTTTAGAGTTGCTATTCAGCATCGTAACAAATTCTGCAACAGATCCAAAACAACAGCAACTGTGTCACAGTGACTCCACTCAAGTCGTCCCTCCCACCCCAATTTTCCTGCTACTAATGCAAACAACAGCTTGGGGTAACTTCTCCCCCCCCAAACCATCTGCTATAATGTGTACTTAACATGTTTAAGGACAATGAAATGCTTAAAGATTTCAAAGAATTTTTAAAAATGTTGCTTTAAAAGTTGAAAATACTAGCAAAACTAAATAAGACTGTGTTTTCTCCTAGGAGATCTTCACAGGAAATAGAGAAGAATGGCAAAACTTGGAAATATATACATAGATAAGAGATCCATGTTCCTGCTGGCTACACAAATTGCCCAAGTTGATCTGCATTTACAAAGAGGCAATAGTCCAACATTCTTTCCTTTAAGTTGTTTTCCTTGCAATGCAGTATGTTATAGCCTTACTTTCTGTTGTAAACCTGGCTAAAGAGTGCCTTTGCTTTGACTAGACAGAGGAATGTTTCAAGATTTGTTAATGAATCAATGTGTTTGGGGATATGGAGGTACAGTACCAAACTGCAGTGTGTATGTATGTACATGTGTGTTTATGTGGATGAGTATATATTTATTTATTCATTTCAATCTCTGGAAACAGTTGGCTTACAAATCCACAGCCATTCTGGGATTGCATCTAAGCGTGTTTTCCTCCATCCAGACCTGAACAGCCTCCAGGCAGAAGGCCAGGTCCTCCATTTCATCTTCTGCCTGAATTATGCTAGCTGTACTCCCACGACTATTTTCTGGTTTGCTCTATTAATTTGTTATGAAGGCCACAGTGTCCCTGCACGGTCCCTGCACTCTCAACATTAAAAAAAGAAAGCCAATAAAAATCCTGTCATCGTATGTCCGATTTAAACCAACATGAACAGGATGGCCTATGGCAAAAGTGGTTTTAAACAGGAAAAAATTGTGGGCAGGCAATGGGAAATAGCTCAAGTAGGGAAAATTTGTTTTCATTGCAAGATCAAAGACGTGACTTTTCACCCAAGTTTCATAGGGTCTCAGCTTTAGGGTTGTTGGCTGTACCTGCCCCTTCAGGTCATGTTGTGCAATCCTGTCACAATCCTGTCACAGCTGGTTCAGGGCCTGCTTGTACCATCACAGCTGTAGCTCCTCCTTTCTATAGTTTAGGATGAAAAGCAGGGCTCCATATGGCTCCAGTGTTAGTCCCTTCTTAAAGTACTACTGCAGTTAGGACTGGGGCTTGTTAGCTTGCTTGTTCTTAAATAGCTTCATTTTTTATTTTTGTACTGGTGTATGAAAAGACTACAGTGTTGTGGTTGTGGTTTGGGGGAGAACCTGTCGGGGAGGAGGCCAGAGCCGGCTGAAGAGCACGGCACTAGAGATGCGGGAACCGGGGTCAAGGTGGGGGTTAGAGCTTGTGTTATGGATGGTCATTACATCAGTACTGTGGGTGGGAGGGGCAGATATGGCGGGAGCAGGGGGCCACATCAGGTTGTGGGAGCACGCGCCCGCTGGCTCCAAGCGGTGGCGCGCTCCGGCCTCCAATGCTCCTCTCGTTCCCCAGGTTGCACAGACCCTCAGGCCCTGGGCCTTCGGCTGATGCTGTGCAACGCCCGGTCCGTGGTAAATAAAGCCCCCCTCATTTGTGATCTTGTTCAGGAGGGGGGAGCGGACCTGGCGGGTATTACGGAGACCTGGTTGGGCCAGGAGGGGGGGTTCCCCTCGTTGAGATGTGCCCACCCGGTTTCCGCGCATTCCATCAGCCGAGGACACAGGGGAGGGGCGGGGGGGTGGCGGTTGTCATTAGAGAAGGTCTTGGTCCGAGGGAGGTCACTGTTCCTCAGACGGCTGGTTGTGAGTCCCTCCTTGTGAAGTGGGGGCATGGGGTGCAGATGGGTGTGCTGGTTACGTACCTGGCTCCCTGCCACGTGACGGCAGCCCTGCCCGAGCTGCTCAACGTTATAGCCGCGGTGGCGGTTGACACCCCCAGGCTTATGGTCATGGGGGATTTTAACCTGCCATCCGTCGGTGAGGCGTCTGAGGTGGCTCGGGAGTTCATGGCTTCCATGACGGCCATGGACCTGACCCAGTTAGTTCATGGCCCTACTCACACGGGGGGAAACACGCTAGACCTGGTTTTTGTCTCTGGTCAGTGGTTGAGTGATCTTGAGATAGGGGATATAGTGATCGAGCCCTTGTCATGGTCAGATCACTCCCTCCTTCGCTTTGACCTTCGAACCGCCGCACCCCGCCGCAGGGAGGCGGAACCACTGAGGTGGTACCGCCCCAGGCGCCTGATGGATCCTGATAGGTTCCAGATGGAGCTTGGGCCATTTCCTGAGGCTCTGGCACACGGCTCGACTGAGGAGCTGGTGGCCGCCTGGGATAGGGCGGCCGCTGGAGCTTTGGATCGGGTCGTGCCTTTGCGGCCTCTGACCCGGCGTCGATCTCGCCTGGCTCCTTGGTTCACCGAGGAGCTGAGGGAGATGAAGCGCCGGAAAAGACGCCTGGAGAGTGGTTGGAGGGCCAGCCATTCTGAATCTGACCGAACACTGGTAAGGTCTCATATTAGGACCTACCTGGTGGCGATAAAAGTGGCGAAGTATAACTATTTTGCCACTCTTATTGCGTCATCAGATAATTGCCCGGCTGCCCTGTTTAGGGTGACCCGCTCCCTGCTCCACCAGGAAGCGCGGGAGGACCCCTTGGAGGGTAGAGCCGAGGATTTTGTACAGTATCTGTATGACAAAATCGCTCAGATTCGGGAACATCTGGACTCTGACTGGATAGATTCAGCGGGGAGGACAGAGGCAGGTCTTGTGAGTATTATCTGGGAAGAGTTTGATTCTGTGACGCCCGAAGACGTGGACAGGATACTGGGCAGACTGAGCGCAGCCACATGTTTACTGGACCCGTGTCCCTCCTGGTTGGTGCTGGCCTCTCGGGAGGTTACACGAGGCTGGCTCCAGGGGATTATAAATGCTTCCTTGAGTGAGGGTGTCTTCCCTGCCGCCTTGAAAGAGGCGGTGGTGAGGCCTCTCCTCAAGAAACCTTCCCTGGACCCGGCAGTGTTGGCAAATTATCGTCCAGTCTCCAACCTTCGCTTCATTGCGAAGGTTGTTGAGAGTGTGGTAGCGCGACAGCTCCCCCAGTACCTGGATGAATCGTCGTATCTGGATCCGTTCCAGTCGGGCTTCAGGCCTGGGTACAGCACGGAAACGGCATTGGTCGCGTTGGTTGATGATCTCTGGAGGGCTCGGGACAGGGGTTGTTCCTCTGTCCTGGTCCTATTAGACCTCTCAGCGGCTTTTGATACCATCGACCATGGTATCATGCTGCACCGGCTAGAGGAGTTAGGGGTGGGGGGCACCGTCCTACGGTGGTTCTCCTCCTTTCTCTCTGACCGGTCGCAGTCTGTGTTGACAGGGGGGCAGAGGTCGACCCCGAGGCCCCTTGTATGTGGGGTGCCACAAGGGTCGGTCCTCTCGCCCCTTCTGTTCAACATTTATGTGAAGCCGCTGGGTGAGATCATCCGTGGTTTCGGGGTGAAGTACCACCAGTACGCTGACGATACTCAGCTGTACATCTCCACCCCGGACCACCCCAATGATGCCCTTGAAGTGATGTCCCGGTGCCTGGAGGCCGTGCGGATCTGGATGGGGAGAAACAGACTCAGGCTCAACCCATCCAAGACCGAGTGGCTGTGGTTTCCGACATCCCGATATAGTCAGTTGGCGCCATCACTGACTATTGGGGCCGAGTCATTGCCCCCCACGGAGAGGGCTCGCAACTTGGGTGTCCTCCTGGACTCACGGCTGTCTTTAGAAGAGCATATGACGGCCGTGGCCAGGGGGACTTTTTATCAGGTCCGCCTGATTCGCCAGTTGCGTCCCTTTCTGGATCGGGACTCGTTAAAAACGGTCACTCATGCTCTTGTCACTTCCCGCTTGGACTACTGCAATGCTCTCTACATGGGGCTCCCCTTGAGGAGCACCCGGAGGCTCCAGCTGGTCCAGAATGCGGCCGCGCGGGTGGTTATGGGAGCGACGTGGCGCTCCCATGTGACCCCCCTCCTGCGCGAGCTGCACTGGCTCCCGGTGGTCTTCCGGGTGCGCTTCAAGGTTTTGGTTACCACCTTTAGAGCGCTCCATGGCATCGGACCGGGGTATCTACGAGACCGCCTTCTGCTACCAATAGCCTCTCACCGACCAGTACGCTCCCATAGAGAGGGGCTCCTCAGGGTGCCGTCGGCCAAACAGTGTCGACTGGCGGCCCCCAGGGGGAGAGCCTTCTCTGTGGGGGCACCTACCATCTGGAACGAGCTCCCCCCAGAGATACGGAAGATCCCGGACCTGCGCACGTTTCGCCGTGCTCTCAAAACTTTTCTATTTCAACAAGCTGGCCTGGCCTAACTCCCCTCTTTTAAATTCTTAAATTTTAAATTTTTTAATTCGTGATTTTATAAATTGGGTGTTTTAATCTGTGTTTCGGCCGAAATATTTAATAATTTTAAGGGATTTTTAATATTTGTATTGTCTGTATTTTATCTTGGCTGTTCACCGCCCTGAGTCCTTCGGGAGTAGGGCGGTATAGAAATTTGATTAATAAATAAATAAATAAATAAATTGTGGCCCTCAAAAAATATGGATTAAATCTCATGTGGCCCTTAGATCTAAGTCTGCTGCACTAGAATGAAACAGCATATAAAGCTAACCCTTTCACAGGAGGGAAAATTTATCTTAGGTACTAACTCCAGGGTTGAGATTTAATGAGGCCCAAACTTTTCAGATTATATGTTTTTATTTTTCAGATGTATGTACTTAGAAACTTGGATATTAGCCCTTTGAGGAAACAAATGAAAAATTGTAGCATGAACTCTGAGATATATTTACCCAATTTTTAAATGATCAAAGGGAAATTCTTAAATTCACTCTAACTCAGGAGAAAATTAAAAGCTCTGGTTCCACTGTTTTGGATGATGTCACCTCATTTATTCTGCAACATTGTTCCACCTACTGTGGTCAATTCATCAATAAGGTGGCTCCTTTGTGTTACATATTCCCAACTGGTGAGAAGTACCATTGGCACTTCTATCAAGGGAGGAGAGTAGAGTGAACATCTAAAGTGATGGGAAAAGATGTCATCATAGTTGGAGAAGATCTAATCAAAAAAGTGATATTTAATATAACTAAGCTTAACTTATTTTTATTTAATTAATTCTATGTTGCCTTTCAGGATGGGGTATTTTTTGAAGTAGCTCACCTAAGCATTTAAAAAATAGTATATCAAAGAACCTTACAATGTGTTTGCCACAAGTTTAGTAATTCATATTCCATGGCTATGATATTTGCTTTAATTGTAATGACATAAGTAGAGAGCAATATGAAATCAATGGTGTGTGCAGTTGCCCAGTGTGAGATGCCTGTTATGTTTTCAACCAAAGATCATTCGACCTTCCATCTTATTGCTTTACCCTTTCCCTCCAT